AGACTAGATGGGATGACTAACTCGAACAATATGAATCAAACAAAATAATAATAATAATAATAATAATACTAGAATCGAACAAAATAATAATAATAGAAAGTCACATAGAAAATGGGGAGAAGACCGAATGGGGAGCTCGTCGAACACCCTAGTGTCGGCCAGCTCAACGCGGATTGACGGAGAGTAGGCTGGGCCAAAGCAATTGACGGAGATGATGAACAGTGAAATTTCAAAAATTTTGGAAAATTGAATTTTGTAAATAGGTCTAATTTGAGTGGTGCACCACCTTTACTAGACTTCCTTTTAAAAAATTGAAATTCAGTAGTTTTGGTTTTGGATTGGTTCACAATTTCAGTTAAAAAGTTTGTGGTGAACATTTTATACACTATTATTATTACTAGTAATCAATCTGTGCATTTGCACAGAGAAGAATACTTTAAAAAGATAACAATATAAAAAAAATTAAATCATAATTTAATTTATGAAAAAAATATGAATGAAGAAAATAATTCTCAAAATTGATTTTGATAAAGTAATTGCTATGGAAGAGCCATTGCAACCATTTTCTTGATGCTAATACACTCGGCCATTTTCATGAGTGGGTGTGACTTAAAATTTGAGTACAGTTCTGTAACTCCCTTAATTCGTTTATGCTCATAATTGATGGCATTCAAGCAAATTATTTTGTAACTTAAAAATGAAATTGAATGCTGAAAATTTTAAAGGGAGAATAAAATTTAATGCATGATAATATAATTTAATGCTTTGTTGCTCCTCTTTATATAGATATAAAATATAGATTATTATTATTATTATTTTACACATTTTTGTAATTTTGAGGTGAAAAAACTTTCGTGGCGCATCATGAGATGACATGCGTTTTCTCACAGCACGAGTTTAGACTTCGTGAAAAAAAAAAAAAGTGAAAGAGCTGCTGCAATCTTCGGGACGTGGTCGTCGGTCGACATAGCCGCGACGCTGGAAATGTACCTTATTGGTCAAATCATCCCCAGTGAAGAATTCTATTGGGTCGTGTTTGTCACGACCTCCACACGCGTGGTCTCTCAGTACAAATTAGCAGCTAGCTCGAATTAGTATTTACCTCCTCCCTCTTTTCTAATATCCACTTGTTTTTTCCTCTGTACAACATTCAAATGCACACCGCTCGCCTGTGTACACAAAATCGTAAGAAAAATGATTTTACTATTGTGATATCAACTACGTTAGGCATTTGATATTTCGTCACTGTAATCTTACTCGTTTTTTGGATGCTCGCGGGGAAAATCGTATTTGGGATTAGGGTTTCTTTTATTTTAAGTTTTTTTCGTTGATTGACTGGTTGATTGACTGAGAATTCGAAGGAATAGGGAATGGCGCAAGCGGTGGAAGAGTGGTATAGCCAGATGCCGATCATAACGCGTTCGTACCTCACGGCCGCCATTGTCACCACCATCGGTTGCTCTCTCGATGTAAGTAATTTTTCCTTTTTCATATATCTGTTTTTGCATATATCTGTCAGAAACAGCTGAAGTTATTTACTAGATGGAATCAGAGAATTTTGATTGTTTTGTCAATGTTTGCTTTTGGAAAATTGGTACAAAGCTAAATATTGCCTGTATTCCTCGATATAGATCATCTGAGATTATTTGTTTTCCACTGAAATTGCGTTGTTGTTTTCCTTTATCTTTGGGTGGTGGTGAGATTAGCTAAATTGTATTGGTTTCGTTTTTGAGCGAAATAGAAATGGAGTTCCTGTTTCTATTTTATTTTATTTTTTGAGAAGAAATTGGATTTTTGTTTTCATGATTAATTTCTGGGAGAGTATTAGCTGAATATAGTTGCCTATATGTGTGTTAATCTGCAGATAATATCTCCTTATGATTTGTATTTGAATCCGAAGCTCGTGGTTAAGCAATACCAAATCTGGCGTGTCATCACCAACTTTCTGTATTTCCGCAAGATGGGTAAATCTTTCACTTTTCTTCCAAAAGTTTTGGTTTAATTTGGACTGCCATGGTTGATTAGGTTGATGAGCTCTGATGAGCATGTATAACTCCAGCTTCAGAATTCGAATTACTCTGCTAGTCTATGTACAAAATTTCCGTGTTCATTCCTTCGAATTACTCTGCTAGTCTATTAGTGAAGTTTCTAGGAAAATAAAATATATCAAACGGCGCAATGCACCTTGGGTCGCTACGGAAACAACCTCCTTGTATAATTACAAGGGTAAGGTCTGCGTACAACTGACCCCCCAGACCCCAACCTGTTGGGAATATACTGGGTATGTTGTTGTTGTTGTATATATATATATATATATATAAGCATACTCGATAACTTGCATTATGTAGTCTTTTTCTTTGCTTTCGCCGTTTGACTAAATGGGAGAAGGCACATCTAGTGAGATTATCCCTGGAACGTGTGCATACGCCTCATTATATTGATATGCTGATATGGTGCATTTAATTATCTACACATCACGTGTTTACTTTTCTGCTTGTTAAAGATGAATTTGGCATTTTCTTACGTTTTGATGTGACAATTAATTCAACATGCCGGTCACAGACATTGAATTTTGACAGATTAATTAGGAAAACTATGTTATGATATGATGGCCTTCGAGATCCATCCCCTCACTGAACATTGATCTATTTGTTTCCTTGCAGATTTGGACTTTTTGTTTCACATGTTCTTTCTCGCCCGATACTGCAAGCTTCTTGAAGAGAACTCGTTTCGTGGTAGGACTGCAGATTTCTTCTACATGCTGTTGTTTGGTGCGACAGTGTTAACTGGTATAGTACTTTTTGGCGGGATGATTCCATACGTCTCAGAGTCATTCGCAAAAATCATATTCCTCAGCAATTCTCTCACCTTTATGATGGTTCGTTTTCCTGTGCACAGAAGTACTTGTCAATATTAGTATATAGCCAGTTTTACGTTGAAGCAAGTGTTCATTTCACTTACCTAGATCATCTTATATCTCATTGGGAATTACCTGTTATGTTTTAGGTATATGTGTGGAGCAAGCAGAACCCATACATTCACATGAGCTTTCTGGGCCTTTTCACCTTCACGGCTGCCTATCTGCCATGGGTTAGTGGTTTATCAAAATATCTTGAAATTTTCTTCATAATTTGATACTCAATTATCCTATCGCTGGTTAAATATATTAATTAGACGAGGGAAATTATTTATCATGATATCGAAAATTCATATGTTTATCTTCAATTGTTCTTCCAAAATGTCTGCCTGCATGACGGCAAAAGATGTTTGGAAGCAAATGACCTAAAATCAATGTTCAATCTTTAGCTTAGTCTAAATAGTTCTGTTCATCTTTATATATTTGGTTTAAGCCTGTCTGCAGGTCCTTCTGGGTTTCTCTGTCCTTGTTGGTGCTAGTGCGTGGGTGGATCTTTTGGTATACCTTCATAGTTTTAACTCGCCCGTTTGTTGAAAGACTTCAATTTATTTGTTATTTACAATATTTATTCACTTCTGGCTCAGGGTATGATAGCAGGCCATGCCTACTACTTTCTTGAAGACGTGTACCCACGAATGACAGGTCGTCGACCCCTCAAAACTCCATCTTTCATCAGGTCCTTGTTCGCGGACGAGCCCGTGGTTGCTGCCAGGCCAGCTAATATCAGATTTGCTGCCCCACCTGTAGATGATGCTCAATGGAATTGAAAAAAAGGTAAGTGAGATGTCTGAACTAAAAGCATATGTAGTGCTATGTGACTATGTCAGCTCGCGCAGGAAGCTGGTTTATATCTTCTGCTGACAGTGCTAGTGACCTTTTTTTTTTTTCATGTATACTGGTTCAGGCCATTGTGTGCCCACAATGAAGTAAACTATTTGACGGCTTGCATATCATTTTCTCGTGTGTGAGGAGAAAACATCGAGCTATTATGACTTGTGAGAATGGATTGGTTCGGGTAAAAATACTGAAAATTATATGTTTCTCCGAGGAAAATGTAAAATGTTAGGTGCACTCCATAATGGTCGGGCATGCAGTTTCAAATTAATACTACCAACTTGGCGGACAAAATAGCAAACTTATTTGGTATTTATGATTTTTAAGTCTTCCGTTTATGAAGCAAACTATTTTGGTTGATATTTTACCAAATTTTACATATGTGAACGGAAAGTAAAATAGGTCAATTTTTATTAACACTTGAATATAGCACGCAATTCATCAGTTTCTGAGCTCCACCGGGAAAACTACACACACATAGAAAGCCACAATATGAATCGAACAAAATAATAATCATAACAAAATCATACGTAGCTTCCATTGCAGCGGAAAACTATGCGCCACAAACCGAACCACAGATTTAAATTTAAAACACCGCAAACTTGGAAAAAGACAATACATAAATGCAAGTATTTTCACAATAAACCGATGCACCGCAGTTTGTCAATCATTCCATGGGCTCTATGATCTCTTCCAAGCAGTGGACCATAGCACTGCTGTCATATCAGCCTCGACTCTCTCTCTCTACCTCCCCCTCTACTCGTCAACCTTGTCCAAGCAAATCTCTCAAAAATTGACTATTTGTTGCTATTTTGTATAACACTAGTTCCAATCTCAGAAGGAATGAAGTACGCCATTAATGAAAATGCCTGCCATGCCCAAGGATGAAAATTTAAAAGGAAAAAAAAAAAAAGGGAAAACGGAGAGTAATAACAATTTTGTACAAGTTACATTCATCAAAAGGATCCGTGGTGCAATGGTAGCGCGTCTGACTCTAGATCAGAAGGTTGTGTGTTCGATTCACGTCGGGTTCAATTCCCCATAATTTGGATCAAAAAATTTTTGTTTTATATATACATTTTTTTTAAACCCACTATAAATTCCCAGTCTCGTTTGGTTCTCCCTCTGTAAAACCCCTACCCCCAACGGCAAAACCCTCGCAACCGATTAAAATGGCACTGAGCTCCTCCTCCAACGACGCCGTTTCTTCTCCACCTCCCCGCCCCCCGAACCCAACTCGCCGACGAGGACCAAGCCCACACCGCCCTCTGCATCGTCCTGTCCAAGCCCGACCCGGCCCGCATCCCCGACATCTTCCGCTCCACCTACCTCACCCCCGAGTTGCAATTCCACCGCCGAGTTTACACCAAAGCCATTTCCAAACTCAGGGACTCTAACGACCACGACCCCATCCGGACCCTGCTCCGGGACTCCATGGACCGCCTCAGCACCCGCAAATCCGAACACCTGATCTCGCACTTCATCGTCCTCTATGGCCGGGGCGGCCTGATCAGAGACGCCGTAGACCTGTTTGACCGGATTCTGGCCATGGGTGTGAACCGCAATGTGAAAACTCTCAACTCGTTGCTCTATTCCTGCCTCCTGGCCCCCGATTATCACGAGATGGCAAGAATTTTCCGAGATTTTCCCCATAAATACGGGCTCGCGTGCCCACGCCATACTAACCGAGATGGAGGGTAAAAACGTAAAACCGAATTTGACCACATTCGCCACTGTAATCACCGGTTTTACACGGAGGAAAAGAATTACAACGCGGGGAAGATTATGAACCTGATGAAGAAACACGGGGTGAAGCCCGAGATAAGTATCTACAATGTGGGGATAAAGAGCCTGTGCAAGCTCGGGAGATCGGACGAGGGCAGGGCATTGCTGGGTGGGATCGTGTCCAAGGGGATAAAGCCTAATCGTGCCACTTACATGAACTTGATTTACGGGTTCTGTCGGGAAGGTAAATTGGAAGTGGCAAAGGGCTTGTTTGGGGAGATGGTCGGGAAAGGTTTGGAACTGGAGCCCGTTTGCTATTTCATGCTCGTGTTTTTCATGGTCAAATGGGGTGATTTTGAGGCGGCTCGGGATGTGTGCAGGGAGTGCATGGCAAAGGGTTGGGTGCCGGACATGACGACTGGGAAGCTGCTTGTCTCCGGGCTTGTGGGGATCAGGAAAGTGGACGATGCCAGGGAGATTATTCGGCATGTGAAGGAGGATTTCCAGAGGAAAAGAGATAAGTGGAGTTAGGTTGAGGATGGCTTGCGTATGTTACAGGAGTTAGAGAAGTATCATTTGCATTTTGCCTAAGGGTTATTGTATACGCACCATGAAATTGAGATGCTTGGTTTGTTTCTTGGCCTTACTAGGAAGTGTCCTCACATTTCTCAATGTTATGAGCCGAAATTGATTGCAAAGGTGATCACAATTCTCCATATTTTGACCCAGAAATGACATATCACTGCAAAGGTCCTCACGTATACTTTGACTCGAAAATGATCACTCTCAGCAAAGGTTCTCAGAATTCTACATGTTGTGAATCGAAAATGACCTCTCACTGTAAAGATTTCTCAGGATTCTACATGTTGTGAATCGAAAATGACCTCTCACTGCAAAGATTGTCACGTCTATCAATGCTTTGACCTGAAAATGACCACTCCCTGCAAAGGTTACCAAACCTTTCAAATGCACTACTATAAGAACATAACATATACTAAATCCTTCACACACTTGAATCTCTTCAAACATCTTATCGAATTTATCTATCCCACATTTCTACAATAAATTTTAATTTCGGCAATTCGTCTTCTTCTATCATCTGATGATGATGATAATCATATTCTAATTATGAATGTTCTTCGTAAAAAATAAGCAGTGATAACTCGTGTTATCGTTAAAAACAACATTATTATTCAACATCTTCTCAATCAACAAAACTAAAAGCCTCCCATAGAGGTTTTGTTCTTGGGCATATTTTTATCAATCGTGATCAAGAGGCTGTTGCTCGTAGGTTGTACAATGATTATTTCTCAGAAAATTCATTGTATAACGAGACCATGTTTCGTAGAAGATACTAAATGTCTCGCTCATTGTTCCTTTGAATGTCGACGCAGTCAAAGATCATGATCATTACTTTTAACAATGAGTGGATCGAGCTGAAAGACTTGGATTATCCCCAATACAAAAAAAAAAAAAAAAAAAAAAAAAAAAAAACTGATGTCTTTCGTAAGTTGGCATACAGTGTTCCAGCAGATGCTACAGACGAGTACGTCAGAATTGGTGAGTCTACTGCAATTGATTGGTGAGCGATATCTGCGGAGGCCCATATCTGATGATATTTCCAGACTTCTATATATTGGCCAACAATGTGGTTTTTCAGGAACGTTGGAGAGTTTAGATTACCTGCATTGGAGGTGGAAAAATTACCCTACAGCATAGGCTGGACAATATGTTGGTCGTAATGGAAAGCCTACAATCATTCTTGAAGTTGTAGCAGATTATGATTTATGGATATAACATGCTTATTTTTGTTTTTTGGGCTCCAACAACGATATCAGCATTCTAGAATCATCTCATCTTTCTCAGATCTAATCCAAGGTTTTGCTCTTCCAGCTCATTATATAATTCAAGGATAAGAATACAACATGAGTTATTATTTAGCTGATAGCATATATCCAAAATGTTCTACCATTGTGTAAACAATTTATGAGTCACGTGGTCCGAAAAAAAGATATGTTGCAATGAAATAAGAAGCATGCAGAAAAGACGTTGAACGTACAGTTGGAGTTCTTCAATCACGTTTTGGTATTGTAGCAGGACCAGTATGATATTGGAAAAAAGAAGTGATGCATGATATAATAACCATCTGTATAATTTTGCATAACATGATTGTCGAGTATGAACATTTTCTACGTGCACTAATCGAAACTGAGATGGAAACGCCGCCGCCAGAGGTCGAAATGGCAATAAAGAAAGTACTCAATTTCAGGGATTCACATTTCGGTATAAAAATAATAGAAATAAAGATGATCACATTGCACTTCGAAATGCACTAATTGATCATTTGTGGGAGGAATTCACCAATTCTGAGACTTTAAAGACTATCTATTTTTTATTTGTATGTTGTAATTTTTAATTTTATCTTGTGAGTTGCAATTTTTAATGAATATTTACCTCTCCGATTTTATTTTGTATATGATTATAACTTTATAATTAATTTTATTACATAAAATTCAAGTCGAACTTAAAAATAATAGTGTGATTTAATTTGTAAAGTTGTAAAATATGTGAGTAGTATTGAAAAGTTATAAAACTTGATATAAAAGATATTATTCTTTTAGGTTTGGTAATAAATTTTTTGGTTGGAGATGAATTATTGTTTGATGTAACAATTACTGTAAAATGGGTTTGCGAACGAGTTTTTCGGTTGAAGATAAAATTGATGGTTTTTTTGATTCAAGATAATTTTTTATCTTTTTTGAAGTTGATTCAAGATAAATTAATGTTAGATGTTATAGTTACTACAATGTGAGTTTTAAAATGAAATTTTTGGTTAGAGATGACCTAATCCCCAATCACACTGAATTTAACGAAAAAATATGCAATCCCCTTTCTCATTTGATTCTCTCTCAGGTCTGTAAAACCCATACCCCAAAGGCCACAACCCTCGCAACCGATCAAAATGGCACTGCGCGGCAAGCTCCGGCAGCTCCTCCTCCAACGATGCCGTTTCTTCTCCACCTCCCCATC